CCTCTACCAAAAACTGACAAAAAGAATACCCGGGCATGCGGTGGCAGCGCGCCGTACAGCTATCGGGACCGGCTGAGCCGAGAATGCGGCGTGACCGGAGGTGGAGCTTGCCAGTAGCCAAGAGAGCACATGATAGGGATGTTGAAGGTATCAGAGAAAACTTAAAACAACTATGATTAGTATGTTATGGGCTCTAGTGAATAAAGTAGGCAGCATGCAAGAATAGATGGGCAGGCCAGGCGCAGTGGCTCACGCCTGTAATCCCAGCACTTTCGGAGGCCGAGGCAGGCAGTCACTTGAGGTCAGGAGTTCAAAACCAGCCTAGCCAACACAGTGACACTCTGTCTCTAATAAAATACAAAAATTAGCCAGGCACCGTGATGCACACTTGTACTCCCAGCTACTCAGGAGGCTGAGGCATAAGACTGGCTTGAACCCGGGAGGTGGAGGCTGCAGTGAGCCCAGATCGCACCACTGCACTCCAGCCTGGGCAAGAAAGTGAGACTCCATCTCAAAAAAAAAAAAAGAGGCCAGGCGCGGTGACTCAAGCCTGTAATCCCAGCACTTTGGGAGGCCGAGACGGGTGGATCATGGGGTCAGGAGATCAAGACCATCCTGGCTAACACGGTGAAAAAAAACTAGCTGGGCGAGGTGGCGGGCGCCTGTAGTCCTAGCTACTCGGGAAGCTGAGGCAGGAGAATGGCGTAAACCCGGGAGGCGGAGCTTGCAGTGAGCTGAGATCCGGCCACTGCACTCCAGCCTGGGAGACAGAGTGAGACTCCGTCTCAAAAAAAAAAAAAAAAAGAAAAAAAAAAAGAAATACTAGTGATCAAAAACACTGTACAGAAGTGAAGAATGCCTTTGATGGGCTATGTATTATGTAGACAGTAAGAGAAAAAATCAAACCTCCAAGCAAAGAGAACACTGGGGAAAAAAAAAAAGAACAGAATATCCAAGAACTGTGGACAGCCATAAAAGGTATAGATATGCATAGTGGAAATACCCGAAGGAAAGGAAAAGAACAGAAGAAAGACAGCCGGTGCCTGACGCATGGTGGTTTGACTTAGTATTTTTCAATTTTACAACAGCGCAAAAGCAATACACATTCAGTACATTCCCCAACTTACAATGAGGCTCCACCTGGATAAATCTATTATACGTTGAATATATCATAAGTCAAAAATGCACTTCTGACAAAGAGATTTTCAATTTATGATGAGTTTATCAGGATGTAACCACATCACTAAGTCAAGGAGCATCTATATATGACACAATAATTACTGAAAATTTTGCTTAAGTAATGTCAGACACCAAATCACAGATGGAGGAAAATCCGAGAATACCAAGAAGATAAATGCCAAAAAACCTGCATGTAGGCATACCATTTTTAAAACACAAAAAATCAAAGATAAGCCTGAGGGGGAAAAAAATACCTTACCTACAGAAACCACACAAGCAGGAAAATGGAGTGAACAGTTAAGATGTTTAGAGAAAAAAAAAAAAAAATCCATCAAAACAGAATTCTGTACCCTGCAAAATTATCCTTCAAAAGTAAAGAAAGACTTTCTCAAAAACTAAGATAATTTATTGCTGTTACAAGTAAACTTGCCTTAACTGGGCAGAAAAGGAAAATACAGGTCAGAAACAAAATTTTTTTTTTTTTTTTTGAGACAGGGTCTTACTCTGTCACCCAGGCTGGAGTACAGTAACACGATCTTGGCTCACTGCAACCCTCACCTCCTGGGTTCAAGCGATTCTCATACCTCAGCCTCCTGAGTAGCCAGGACTACAAGCACGCACCACTACACCTGGCTAATTTTTATATTTGTAGTAGAGACAGGGTTTCGCCATGTTTGCCAGGCTGGTCTTGAACATCTGATCTCGTGATCCACCTGCCCTGGCCTCTCAAAGTGCTGGGATTACAGGCCTGAGCTACCACGCCTGAGCCACCATACCTGGCCATGCCTAGCTATTTTTCTTATTCTTAGTTGACCTAGTCTGTTCAAAATAGTAATAGTGGCTGGGCACGGTGGCTCACGCCTGTAATCCCAGTACTCTGGGAGGCCAAGGTGGGCGGATCATGAAGTCAGGAGATCGAGACCATCCTGGCTAACATGGTGAAACTCCGTCTCTATTAAAAATACAAAAAAATTAGCTGGGTGTGGTGGCACGAGCCTGTAGTCCCAGCTATTCGGGAGGCTGAAGCAGGAGAATCACTTGAACCTAGGAGGCGGAGGTTGCAGTGAGCCGAGATCGCGCCACTGCACTCCAGCCTGGGCAACAGAGTGAGACTCTGTCTCAAAAAAAAAAAATCACCAAAAAACTCCTGGAACTAAGTGATTACACCAAGGTTGCAGCAGGATACAAACTTAATGTACAAAAGTCAACCCCTTTCTTGTACACAGGTGTAAGCTGAATATGAAATAAAAAACACAATACCATTTACAGTAGCACACACAAAAATGAAATACTTAGGCGTAAGTCTAACAAAATATATAATGATATTATATTAAATCTATATGAGAAAACCTACCAAACACTGCTGAACGAAAACTAAGAACTAGATAGATATAACATGTTCATGGATAGGAAGACTCAATATTCAAGACTTCAGCTCTTCCCAGCTTGATCTACAGATTCAATGCACTGTCAGTTAAAATCCCAGCAAGTTATTTTGCAGATGTTAACTAACTGATTATAAAGTTTAGACAGACAAAAGACTTAGATTAGCTAACAGGATCCTGAAGCAGAAGGATAAAGTTGGGAGAATGAACCTGACTTCAAGACTTATAGGCTGGGCATGGTGGCTCACACCTGTTATCCCACCAACGCTTTGAGAGGCCAAGGAGGAAGAAGTGCTTGAGGCCAAGAGTTGCAGGCCAGCCAGGGTAACACAGTGAGACCCTATCTGTACCAAAAAAAGAAAAAAAAATTAATTAGCCCGATGTGGTGGCACGTGCCTGTAATCCCAGTTACTCAGGAAGCTGAGGCGGGAGGATCCCTTGAGCCCAGGAGTTCGAGGCTGCAATGAGCTGTGACTGTTCCACTGCACTCCAGCCTGGGCGACAGAGCGAGACTCCGTCTCAACAACAACAAAAAACACTTATTTTAAAGCTACAAAAATCAAGACAGTGTGGTAGTGTGGTATTAGTGAAAGAACAAATAGACCAACAGAACTCAATAAAGAGCCCAGAAATAGACCCATATAAATATAGTCAACTGATCTCTGACAAAGGAACAAACTCACAGGGGGGAAATATCCACTCCTAACTTTCTCTCATTTCTTTAGCACCACAGCCTTCCTCACTGTGTCCTTTCCTTTCATTAACTTGAGTCCTCACCTCGGTCCTCTTGAGGGTTCTAGTTGGTCACACTCTGAGCTTCCACGAATACAGTAAGGTGTCTTTAGATATTTCCAGTTTAGACCTCCCATGTGAGTTACAGGCTGAAATACAGGCATTGGATATTCAACACCTGCGAAAGTCTCTCCCAGGGTCCCTCTTCTAACAGCTTTCCTAGTCTCCGGCTGTATAGCTCAGCGGCAGAGCACAACATCCGGCAACGTCGTCGCCACCACTCACCGAGTGCAATGGATTTGGCAATCAAGTCACTTGTAAAGTCTCCCCTCCGGTTCACTCCATCAATCATTCATAAAGTCCAGATGATCCCCTGGCCCGCCCCTTACCTCTTGGACTCTCGAGCTCCGCTCCTAGCCTTTTCTCCCTACTCATACACCTGTAATTGTGTCCACAGTTCACCAGACTACCGTCCCCACCAAACCAAAGCTCCTCTAAAATCAGGAACATACATAACTTATCTCTGCATTGCCAGCACCAGCTCTAGAGTTCAGCACACAAAAAGACACTCCATAAACAAGCATTTGGCCAAACGAAAAAGGAGGAACTGGTAATTTCTCCAACGAAGTTCCAACGGCCTGCGTAAGACAACTTTCTGTAGAAAACACGAAAAGATGGAGGATCTCAGATTTCAGGGCCCGCAGCTGGCAATGAAGTGCAGTATAATTGCCCGTCACAGATTACCACGAGGCACGTTTCTGCAGGACCAGAGCTTGGGTGAGCTTTAGAGGAGCTTCGGTTTGGCGGGGAGGGTAGTCTAGTGAACTACGGACACAATTACAGGTGAACGTGAGTTCAGTTCCCGGGAGTAACCCTGCAGAGATCAACGTGGCCACCCTCAGTATCCAGTCGACTTTTAAACACGGAAAGTCTCTACTTACCCAGCACGAAGCTGTCCGGAAACTGGTGGCCATCCCCACGCCCACGTTCGTGCGCTGCCTAGGGGGCAGGACCCGCGGGCTGCGGAGAGACCGCGAGGGATGCGTCCGCACGAAGACAGGTGCGGGTCCTGGGCCCCAGGCACCTGACCGTCCCGGGGCTGAGTCGCTCGCAGGGACGCCGGCTCCTCAGCTCTCGCCCAACGCGGAGCGCGCGTGACTAGACGGCCTCCCGGTCTGGGTACCAGGAGTCGCACCGATGGATTTGTGCCGTTCAGCAGCCCTGACTCGGGAGAGCAGGCGGCTGGCCTGGCTCCGTCCACGCCTCGAACCGACGGAGGTGTTTAGCTGGTCAAGTCCCTGGTCTGCTCCGGATAATCCCAGCCGCTTAGCTCCGCGCCTCCGCGGTCACAGAGACTAGCCAGGTTCACCCGCTGGCCAGATTTCGGTCCACTGAGTCTAAGCCGGAAACAGCCCTGCACGCGCGCACCCGACTAAGACAGGGTGTGTGGCGCACGCGGAAGTGCGTCATACGTCGATGCGCCAGGACGCGACAGCGCCCGGAAAAACTACATCTCCCACAATCCTCGGCGAAGGCTCCCTAGTTACAGGTCTGACTTCCAGCTGCAGCGTATCTGGAGAGGGGCACAGTCTGACAGGAAAGGAAGGTTGGGAGGGGGCTCCGTCAGCGGCACCTGGTTCACCCTCCCCCGGCTGCGCCAGGTTCAGTACCATCCTCGGAGCCCGGACGCCCAGTTTCCCAGGGCCTGTAGAACTGAGTCAGAGTCTGACCCCAGCAGAGACGCAGGCGTGCTGAGGTCTTGATATCAAACAAGATAGGGTTCAGACCAGAAGGCACAGCAAAAAAGGACGCTTTGTAAAGCTAAAAGCTGCAATTCCTAGGGTTAAATAACAGTTTGGAAATCAGTGCACTAAAGAAGAAACTATAGTAGATGTTAAAGACAAATAAATAGAACCACACCAATAATGAAACTGCCTTTGCAAAAATTATATCAGTGAGAAAATTATTGCCGTGGGGGAGGTCTAATCTAACCAAACCCGCCACCCTACGCGCCTTTGGCTCTTCTGGGCTTAGGACAAGCTAACTTTGGAAGACATTTAGGTTATAGTTTAAATGATAACCCTTTTCCAAAACTCAACTGCCTTTGTAAACCTATGAGAGACCACCAAGCTAGGGGGAGGAGAGGAGCCTGAATTCTAAGATGTAGATTGGTCACAAGATATGCAGCTTCCCCAATTACTCCCACAGATAACAGATAACACCACTATTGTAGATTAACCTTTCGAGATTTAAAAATGTGCAAAATGGCCAGGCGATGGCTCACGTCTGTAATCCCAGCACTTTGGAGGGCTGAGGTAGGTGGATATGAGCCCAGGAGTTGGAGACTAGCCTGGGCAACATGACGAAACCTCGTCTCTACAAAACATATCAAAAGTCAGCCGGATGCAGTGGCATGCATCTGTAGTCTCAGCTACTTGGGAGGCTAAGGCAGCAGAATTGCTTGAGCCCGTGAGGCAGAGGTTGCAGTGAGCCGAGATTGCACCATTGTGCTCCAGCCTGGATGACAGGAGTGAAACCTGTCTCAAAAAAAAAAAAAAAAAAAAAAAAATTCAAACATCTGAATAGACATTTCTCAAAAGAAGACATACAAATGGCAAACAGGTATATGAAAAGGTACACAATATCATTGATCATCAGAGAAATGCAAATCAAAACTACAATGAGATATTATCTCACTCCAGTTAAGATGACTATTATCCAAAAGACAAGCAATAATAAATGCTGGTGAGATTATGGGGAAAACGGAACACCTGTACACTCTTGGTGGGAATGTAAATTAGTACAACCACTATGGAGAGCAGTTTGGAGGTTCCTCAAAAAAATAAAAATAGAACTACCATACAATCCAGCTATCCTACTCCTAGGTATGTACCCAAAAGAAAGAAAATCAGTATATTTAAGCGCTGTCTGTACTCCCTTGTTTATTGCAGCACTATTCACAATAGCCAAGATTTGGAAGTAACTGAAGTGCCAATCAACAGGTTAATGAATAAAGGAAATGTGATACATATACACAATGCAGTACTAGGAAGCCATAAAAAAGAATGAGATCCTGTCATTTGCAACAACATGGATGGAACTGGAGATCATTATATTAAGTGAAATAAGCGAGGCAGAGAAAGACAAACTTCACATATTCTCACTTATTTGTGGGAGCCAAAAATTAAAACAATTGAACTCATGCTGATGGAGAGTAGAAAGATGGTTACCAGCAGCTGGAGAGTAGTGGGACACTGGGGGGGATAGAAATGGTCATTCGGTAGAAAAAATAGAAAGAATAAGACCTAATATTTTCTAGCACAACAGGATATACTCAAAAATAATTTAATTGTACATTTTAAAATAACTAAAAGTATAATTGGATTGCTTGTAACACAAAGGATAAATGCTTGAGGATACCCCATTTTCCCTGATGTGATTTTTATGCATTGCATAATAATATGCATTCTATATCAAAATGTCTCATGTAATCCATAAATGTATACACCTACTATATACTCCTAATAATTGAAAATTTTAAAAATTAGCCAGGTGTGGTGGCATACACCTGTAATCCCAGCTACTTGGGAGGCTGAGGCAGGAGAAATGCTTGATCCTGAGAGGTTGAGGCTGCAGTGAGCCATGATCCCACCACTGCATTCCAGTCTGGGCAACAGAATGAGACCCTGTCTCAAAAAAAGAAATTAATTAATTAAAAATTTTCCCACAGAGAAAATCTGGGAGTGGATGGCTCCACTAGTGAGTTCCATCAAATATTTAAAGAAGAAAGGATAATTCTTCAGAAATTATTTCAGAAAATAGATGAGAGGGAATACTTCCCAACTTATTCTATGAAGCCAGTATTATTCTCATACCAGAGTTAGACAAAGACATTACAAGGGAAAAACAAAATAAAACTACACACCAATATTCCTGTGGTGTGTAGTACCATAGACATAGACACAAAAATTCTTAACAGGCTTGGACTTTTTTTCTCCTCAAACTGGTTTTGCAGGTGTTTACTCATGTGAAAACTTAACAAATTGTTTAAATATGTGCAGTTCATTCTATATCGATTATAACTTAATAAAGCTGTTTTAAAAAAATGTTAGTAAACTGAATCTGGCAACATACAAAAAGGATTTTATAACATGACCAAATGGAATATATACCAAGAGTGTAAGATTGGTTCAACACTGAAAATCAGTATAATAAAAGACAAAAACTATATGACTATTTCAACAGATGCAGCAAAAGGCATTTAGCAAAACCAACATCTACTCGTGGCAAAAACTCTCAACCATTTAGGAATAAATGGGAATTTCCTCAACTTGATAATGGGCATTTAAAAAAACCCTAGCTAATATCCTACAGAACCGTGAAAGACTGAATGTTTTTCCCCTATAATAGGAAACAAGCAAGGGTGTCTGCTTTCAACACTTCTGTTCAACGTTGTACCGGATGTCCTAGCTGGTTCCGTTCAACGTTGTACCGGATGTCCTAGCTGGTTCCGTTCAGCGTTGTACCGGATGTCCTAGCTGGTTCCGTTCAGCGTTGTACCGGATGTTCTAGCTGGTTCCGTTCAACGTTGTAAAGGATCTTCTAGTTGGTTCCGTTCAACGTTGTAAAGGATGTTCTAACTGGTTCCGTTCAACGTTGTACTGGATGTTCTAGTTGCTTCTGTTCAACGTTGTACTGGATGTTCTAGTTGCTTCTGTTCAACGTTGTACTGGATGTTCTAGTTGGTTCTGTTCAGCATTTACTGGATGTTCTAGCTGGTGCAGTCAAGCAAAAGAAAAGAAAGAGAAGAAAGCATCCAGATTGGAAAAAAGTAAAACTGCCTTTATTCACAGATGACAGGATTCTGTATATAGAAAATATCAAGGAATCAATGATAATAATAAAACTACTGAAACTAATAAAAGATGTTAGCATGGTCAAAGGTTACAAGATCAATATATAAACACTATACTTCTATGTACTAGCAATGAATAATCTTAAAGTTAACAATTTCACACCATCAAAAAGAATAAAATAGTAACAAATTTAATAAAAGAAGTAAAAATGTGGCCAGGCACAGTGGCTCATGCCTGTAATCCCAGCACTTTGGGAGGCCGAGGCAGATGGATCGTGAGGTCAGAAGATTGAGACCATCCTGGCCAACACAGTGAAACCCCGTCCCTACTAAAAATATAAAAAAATTATCCGGGCGTGATGGTGGGCGCCTGTAGTCCCAGCTACTTGGGAGCCTGAGGCAGAAGAATCGCTGGAACCCGGGAGGCAGAGGTTGCAGTGGGCCAAGATCGTGCCACTGTACTCCAGCCTGGGCGACAGAGCGAGACTCCGTCTCAAAAAAAAAAAAAAAGAATAGCAAAACAATTTTGAAAAAGAATAAAGTTGAAAGACTTACACTACTTGATTTTAAATTTGCTATAAAGCCACAGTGATGAAGACACTGTGATATTAGCACAAGGATAAGTAAATAGATCAATGGAAAATAAGTAAGGATCTAGAAATACATTGTAACATTTATGGCCAATTAATTTTTGACACAGTTACCGAGATAATTCAATGATGAAAAGGTAGACTTTAGTAAATGATTCTGGGTAAACGGATGCATACATGCCAAAGAAGGAGAAGGAGAAGACTTGCCTTACACGTTACACAAGAAAATTAGCAGAAAACGGGTCATAGACCTAAAAGTAAGAGCTAAAACTATAATACAATAGAAAATTGATGTAATTTTGTGTTGGGTAAAGAGATTCCAGATATAACAACAAAAGCATGATCCATGAAATAAAAGCATTGATAAATTGAACTTTGTCAATATATAAAAACTTTTCTGTTTCAAAAGACAGTATGAAGAAAATGAGGAGACAAGCCACGGTCTAAAAGAAAATATTTGAAAATCATTTGTCTGATAAAAGACTTGTAT